CATGTAAACGAGCGGTTTCGGCTAATCCTATATTTATTCTCAACGACTCATATGTTGAAATTAAAAAAAAACAGTAAACTACATACGTAACGTTAGTGTTTATGTTCTGCCTCAATGCAATGAACTCCGTATTCTTCTTCTCATATAACTGCAGCATGCGTGAATGTTAATTTACTATTTACTACTATAATGGACCCAATTTTATTTTAATCAATTTTATCGATTTTCAGTACTCAAAGTACACCCGTTGTTCCTCAGAGGCAACTGTCTACGGGATCTACATCGCAGCCTCAGCAAACCATAAGTAATCCATCACACCCACAGTTTGTCATTGTAAAGTCAGGCATTAACATTCAACAACAAGTCAAGCCAAATATTGTTGTTATGAAACCGCCCAGTTCCAATATTACACAAGTAAATATACTCATATGAAATATTTTCATGTTTTTTGTATTGATCGAAAAAAAACTCTTTTCAGGCACTGACACCCACCAATACACCGTACATTATTCAGGAGTCAGAAGAAATTGACGACCTCTCCCATTTAGAGTAATAACTATTCTGAATCATTTTTTATGTATACATAATTTCACAAATTCAAAAATACATTTTTTGGTACAAGACAAAATCCGAATATATTTAAAGTAAACTTTAATCAATATTGTTGATATTTGAAAGGATGCATATTTGTTTTGACAATTGGACTTCATATATTTGCTATATATTTGCTCGCATCTAATGTTCATTTGCTACTACTTGGCGATATTATTTCACTGAATTTTTGCGCTGCAACCTTCTTTAACTGTTCGCTCTCCTGAGGACCAGTCGCATCAACCATTCCACGGAAAATGCTCTCTTCATTTTGTAACAAATTATGTGGAATATCGTACTCTTTGGCAATGCCCGCATCCATAACTAAGACACGGTCGGAATCCATAATGGTATGTAATCGATGCGCTACAGTTATAACGGTAAACTGTTTAAATTTTTCGCGAATTGTTTTCTGGATGAGCGCATCGGTTTGTGGGTCTACGTTGGCTGTGGCCTCGTCTAGCACCAATACTTTATTATTTCTTAAAATAGCTCGAGCCAAACATATCAATTGCCGTTGGCCTTGGCTGAAATTGGTTCCGCCTTCAGTTACCTGAATAAAATAATTTAAAAGTTGTTAAGAGAACTGTATTAGCTTAGCACTGAAGAAGAAAAACAAAACAAAACGTACAAAATAGTCCAAGCTTTCAATCATTGACTTCAATTCAACGTCCTCCAGTGATCGCCACATAGCATCATCGGTGTAATGACCAAACGGATCCAAATTGTAGCGGACTGTATGTGAAAATAAAACTGGATCCTGGGGAATTATAGAGATTTTCTCTCTCAAGCTGCTCAACGCAATTGTCCCAGTATTGATATTGTCTATTTCAATTATTCCATCAACATGGGCCAAACGAAATAGAGCTCCTATCAATGAGCTCTTGCCAGCACCGGTTCTACCTATAGGAAGATGTATATCCAAATTTTGCTTCTTTGTTTTTTTTATAGTGCATACAAACTCACCCACAACTCCAACTTTGAAACCAGATTCAATCTCCAAACGAAGGTTTTTCAATATTGGCGGTCCTTGTGGGTCATATCGCAAGGACATATTATGCATTTTTATTTTACCAGTTCTAGGCCAATCCGATGGTGGTTTTTCATCAGGACTTTGTTCCTATTTGAAAAAGATATTCAAAGTAGTTTTTTATGGTTATAGCACGTTTTTTAAATACCGGTTCTAGGTCTGTATACTGCAAAATTCGTTCGACGCTTGTCATCTGCTGCATAGTCTCTGTTGCTTGCCTAATTCCATATTGAACCATGCCGGTCAAAATTAGCGCCTGTGAAATGGCTAACCCAACATTTCCGCTGAATGTATCTTTGTGTAAATGAACAGAAGAGATACAATTAGAATTGAGCCAATCTATCTATAAAATAATAGTTGATTATATGAAAATACTTCTCACTTTCATAAAAAATAATAAAACTAAATGTAACGCTCGCAACAAATGCGGTGCTGATACAATCCATCCATAAGCCGCATGCTGTATTCGATGTCATTGCCTAATAAAGAATAATTAGAATTAGAAGATCAACCAGAAAATATAATAAAATAAACACCAACCAACTGCCAGACTGCGCTGTGGACGTCTTGCAAATGGTCGAATTCATTGGCTAACTTATTCTGAATATTTCTTGCTCGTATTGTCGCCAAACCGTTGATAGTCGCCGTCAAGTGCGAGAAAACCGGACTACGACCTGAATATTTTTTTTTCAAACCAATTTAGAAGTGAACTTCATTACACAATACACATTCATTGAACACAATAAAACAAAACCTACAAATTCCTTCTAAACGCTTCAAGTCTTGGGACGGTCGTAGGTACAGCTTGATAATTAGAGCGAACAAAACTATGGCACATGATAAAGCGAAAATCATTGGCGGATTCACTATCACGATCACTGCTAGTATGCCGAGCATAACTAATATTATTTGGATGGCTTCCATCATCACTCTTGGCATTATCTTTAAGATATTTAGTTGAAATTTTATTCAATGTTACTTTAGGATATGTTAAATTCGAATTACTTCATCGATAGCACCCATATCTTTTGAGAAACGATTTAAAATCCGACCAGATGGATTTAAATCGAAGAATCGCATTGGCGCATGCAAAATGCTGTAGAACATTTGATCATGTAATCTCTTCGAAGCACGCGAAGTTGTTCTGAAGAACAATATACTGCGATAAATGCAAATCTGTATTAAATGAAAAAAAAGAAGAATTCATTAGTAGTAGATGTGATGATAGACACTTCTGAGTGTAATGTAAGTATATTGGGCTAACCAGTAAAGGTCCCTCATTTTCAATAATTTTTTTACAAATGATCATATGCGTTCGATAGGGCATCCCTCAAAACCTCCGAAACAATATTTCTTTTCGTTGCGATTTTCCCGGGGGTGGTTTTAGAGGTTCTCAAAGTTGGCAACCCCAATTTTTTCCGGAGGCCATAACTTCTACGACTGGACATTTCTGGGAAGTGTCTTTGGAAAAGTTGTAGATCTTGTCAAGATACACAATTTTGCCGAACAAATCATCCCCAAAAAACCATCACTTCAAGGTCAAAAGTCACTCTTAAAAATAGAGATTTTTGAGCCATCCGGAGGTAGGCCCACAGTTAAAAGGGGTGGTTTTTTTGGGGACAAAGTGTTCAGCAAAGTTTTATATCTTGACAAGATCTACAACTTTTCCGAAGACACTATGTGAAATTT